CTGTGATATTGGCAGCCTTATAACTCAAAAACTAAACGGTACCTTTTTCTAAAAAATAGCATGGTATAGAGTATAAGTTGTGTACTACAAACTGACAGAAAAACTGGAGAAGGGTACATTCAAATTTGTTAACTTTTTAGTCTGGGAAGTTGCCAGAATATACACTCATTTTACAGCAAGTGCGACATAACTGCCTTGTTTTGTTATTGCATAAACCTATAACATGTAAAGTTATTTTTTCTTTACAAATAAGGCGATAGATAGAAAAGCAATGTTTCTAGGTTTTAGAATGCATCTACACTTTCAGCTAAATTGGTGATTAACCTTTGAAATATCATACTTTTTTCTTTTATTTTCAGCAGCTAAATAAACTCTTTTTGACTACCATGACTTTCCGGCTTCGGGTCATGATAATCAAAGATAAGGTGTATTCAAACTTTACTTATTCAGTGAATTAGTTTTATTTATAGAATGAAATGAAGTAGGAATGAAACATCAAAATAAGATTAAATCAAAAACTCGTCTTTTTTTAGAAAGCGTATCCTGACATCTTCAAATCGTATTTTCTCTCATCGCCATTTCTGTAGACTATTCTTATTGTCTCATAAATTATTTCATATTTGCTTCACAACATAATATCCGAACAAGAAAAATTTGGACGTATATTCATACTAAACTGAATATTCGATGAAAATAGTATTGTTCTTCTCTTATATTGAATTTAACAGAAAAGTCGTCCTGTACGCATGTTGTGTGCTTCATTTGCTTCTTTTTTCGTATTTTGAAACGTAACATACATATACAAAGACTTTTTTCTTACATTCAATATAAGAGAAGAACAAATACTGTTTTATCGAATATCTGTCGATTATAACGACAAAGAAGAGAGTGACAACTTCATTCAGCCTATAGTCGGTAAACACAAGCTGTTCGCTTCCATTAAAGGAATTTAAATCGATTTTAGACGACTTCAATAGCTTACACAATAACTGTTCGCGTTATAGTACTTGGAGGAGCTTCATTGTCAAATCTGAATTGCTCCGATATTGTCCAAGAACTGAGAAATTATAATATCAAATAATTTTATGTGAAAAGAAAACAAGTAACGTATAAATTAAGTTGAGATATGAGATGAACAAAAACAGCATAGAATGACAAAATAGATGAGAAAGAGATACAATATATCCAAATTTAGTACTATGTTAGAATGCAAATAAAACAATAGAATTAGAGTAAAGACAAAATTAATCATATATAGACAACAATCATTTTGTTCTAATTTTATTTAAAAACATATTGCATGATGAAAAATGATTTAATTCTGTTGTCATTCACATTTCGTCGGGTACAGTTGTGGGTAATCTGATGTTGTTTAATGTACGATATAAACCAAGGGTGAGGACGACGACGTTGCATAATCACTAAATGTAAGGTTAAAAAGAAGAGCAGTATCATAAGCTTAATAAAAGAAGTGTAAGGCTGAACATTAGAGAACTGAATTATCCCGCATGGAAGAACAAACGTTTTGTAAAGAGAGAACAAACAACATACCAGTGATGGATCGACCACACAGGCGGATCCATCTCCGAGTCGCTGATATGTTGTCTAAACTCAACTTAACAAAAGTCTCGTCTCTACGTACTTTTTAGAGTCATTCTGAACTTTATAATCTTTTGCTCCTTTTAAAGGAAGAGAAGCGACTAGCAGTCAAAATCTTCCTGTTGCTTAAATTAAACCATAAATCTTGATCACTCTGAGTTTCGTCTTCTTCTTCACCGTCAGAGCTTGAATTATTACTTCCAGAAGTAATAATTTCGTAATCTGTTTCCTGTTCGTCGTTCTGTCTATTCATATCTGGAAGTACTACAAAGTTGTCATCTTCTATATCATAAACATGTGTGTTCATAAAAATCTGCATATCACTGCGCTCATCAGGACTGAACTGCATTTCTAGAATGCGATATAATTTTTGCATCATAGTATACAAGGGCTTTTTTGCTACGTTTGTTGATGAAAAGTATAGGCGGGACAAAAGATCATTCCCTTTCTCAACCTCTTGCATATTGAAAGCTCCTAAATTCTCTCGCTCATCAAATTCAAACAAATGATTTCCTACTATATGAAGATACGGGGTTACGTTACTTCGCAAACAAGCAGCATTGAACGTTTGAAGAAACTCAATGCAAACTGTTTTTAGATTTTTCTTGCGTTTTAATGGATCCACTTTTAGAAGATCAAGTATTTCGCGAAAATCCTCCACTAACTTATTAGCATCAACTTCAGCTTTTCCGTCTAATAGTTTGTCATAGGGAAATTTTTGAAAAAATAACTCCTGTAAGTGTCCGGAAAATCTTCCATGAAGCTTTATTAGTTGTTCTTTTGTGTCATATGCAAAGAAAACTCTTTTTCCAATGAGTATCTTTGCATGTTCGTTTAAGGTCGCTACTTTTTCCTCCATCTGTAGATCATGTTCTTTTCCATATTTTTCACGTTTAGATGCATAATGCAGTATATCAGTCATAAAAACATCATACACTCTCAACTTCATATGCAAGGTATCCATTATATAGTCGCTAAACTCAAACAGATCTCCAAATAACGGCTCACATTTATATCCTTTACAGTTTTTTTCTCCTTTCTTATTCAAACACAGTTTTTGTTCCTCTAAGGTTCGCGCTTCCTTTTGAACATCAAAATAAGAAGTTGTGTTAGGTTGTTGTAACTTATTTTTATGTTGAGTACAAAATATACAAGGGAAATTAGATTGAACGCCCGCTAATCCAAAGACATAAACGGCATTCATAAAATCTCCTCCGAGTTTAATTTTGACAGGGATGTCTTTCTGATTCAAACGGACATATTTAACGCTTCCCAAACTATCGAGAAACGATTTAGGAAGAATTTTTCGATATAGTTCATATGACTCTTTGGGAAACTCAAACAGTCCGACTGGAACTAAATTTTTTGGTGATTGGCAATCAGGACCACCCTCAACACAGTTGACTGATATAGCAACAATATGCTTGTTGCCAATAAGTGTTCCATCCATATTCAAACGAAAGGTTATCTGTGGTAATTGATGAAGATTTCTATTTTTTCGATTTGCTATAAATACAGCAGTTTTTATAGCATATTCGAACTGAACATACGCACCGTCCATCGTACTAATAATGGGAAATTTTTCATTAACCTCCTTTCTCTTCTTACGAATATAATGAATTGAGAAAATCTTTTTATGTTTCTTAAAAAATTTGTCAATGGCATCGAGTCCTTTGTCGGTGATGTTATATTCATCTTTCAAATGCAAAAGCTCTCGCTTAATTTTTTCCTGCTCTTCGTACCATTTTTCATTGTAAAACCAATAATTTATTTAAAATTTTTTTTTTTTTTTTTTTTTTTTTTTTTATTTGCAAACACTGGCGACCCTTCAAGGTTCTAGCAGTACAGAAGTAGGAAGAAATAATTAGCTAAATAAATGAAAATGCTAGAGAAGATAATTCTACAGATATGAAAATTAAAAATAAAAAAAAGCGATTCAAATTATTAATAACACTTGTAACAAAACCGAGAATATGGTACTACACAGCAAAAATAAAAACGAAAGTTTATTTTACAATTACATTAAAAAATAAAAAGAAACAGAAACTTCTTTTTTTTTTTTTTACCAATCTTTCGCACGTTCGAAAAAAAATAGGTAAGAAAAATGATGTCAAAAGGTTTCGGGGAAGTTACCCAGGGTCAAAATCTCATCCATGTCGTAGTTTAGGATCGATTCGTTCGGAGCTATTCCCGCGCA